CTCCGATCTCCACTCCACTACTTTTTTCATTGTTCAAATTTATTTAGTTGTTTATTTGTTTGTTACACTTTAACATTTACCTATAGCTAAGTTAGAGTCTGTGTTAAATTGCACAGCTTTTTCATGTAGAATTCATGTAGGACACCAGTGCACTCAAATAAAAACCACATGAGAAGTATGCATACTTTCCCTAATTACTGGACCTTAAAATGCCTGTGTAAGCCTTTGCTGCAATATATCCCCATTGGAGCTGATGCTGTACTGTTATTTAACAAACAGACAAATAATGAAGAAAAACAGTTTCCACAGAGGGTCGTTTAATACTTAGAAAGCTCTTTTGGCCTACAGGGGTTTACTTTCCTAGTGTTTTGTTTTGATTTGATACAATGAAAGTGGACAGTGCTATTTATGTGCTGATTGCCGTTGTTACGCCAGTGAAATTTCTTGTCAGCCTGAGAGCCATCACCAGGCAAGTTAGCTGAAAAGATATCCCATTAGTGTGTGTTTTTGCATGCACAATTTTGTCACCTATTTAAGGGAGTACATGCCTGTGAGTGTGCGTGCGTGCGTATGTGTGTATGTGTGTGTGTGTGTGCGTGCAGCATTGGGCACATTCTTGTATTAGAAACATGCATCTGTAAACTAGTTTGCTGAGCCTCTGTGCACCTCTTTCATTACGCCGATTGCAATCTGTTAAAAAAGAGATTAGATGAGAGGATGTACTGCATAAAGTCTATTAGAGGAATGAATTGCTTCCAGTACTCTGTGGGGTCGGTCTTTCACTGAGGATTAACTCTCTCAGGTCGATAAAAGCCTGGATTCTCCTCGTCCTTGTCCTCTAGTGCCCATTTAAAAGAGAGTTGTCAGGAGTATACTCAAATGCTCAAATATTAATATTAAAAACGCTGTTCAACAGATCAAGTGTGTTACATGGTAAACAAATGTCTTGTTTAAAAAATTAACATAAAATGGTAACATTTTCTAAAACACATCCATGCTTAAATAATGCATAACTAATGCATGATGTAACATGATTTTTTTTTTTTTACCTTTTAATGAATATGAGGTAGGTTCAATGAACACAAATTGCTCTTCAAGTTCTGGAATAACACACCTTACACCTGCAAACTGCCCAGTACAACCACAGTCTGAGCAACTCACATCCCAGTGTGGGGCTCAATTGACTTGCTCAAGGGAACCTCAGTGTTTACCATTGCATTAATTTATAATCCATCATCAACTGAATGTACTAATGTTGATGATGGCATTGCAAGTAGAAGTGAATACGATTAACACTCACTGGATCATAATTTTATGAAAATATATTTATTACAGTACAGTTTTGGACTTTTCATTAGCTTGATACCAAATGTTTTTTTTTAATTGTTTTACAGCTAATTTAAATACTAAGGCAGGAGAGAAATATCACACTGAGTGTTAGTAGTTTGATCATTTATTAAAAATGAGCCACAGATGTTTTGACAGTACAGTCCTTTTTAGGATAATAATCACAATAGCTTATAAATTATAAGCATGAGTTGTATATTACCATTAAACATTCAATCATGCATTGATCCACAATAAGAAGAATATAAACATAAATGTTGATAAGGCAAATGTATGTCATTTCTTCAAAATGTTCCTTCTTATAGGAATATACACACACATCAGTGTTTCTGATAAAGATTCTGGATTATCAAACTGAAAGTTGCTGTTTCAAAAACATTTGTAGATGGATAATGTCTCTGTTTTCATGAAGGATAGACCTTCAGACTAGGGACTAAATCTTTATAAAACCCACAACTCAATATCTGTCAGGACCCACAATAATACACAGTTAGTGACTGCTGTAATGGAAAAAAGCAAAACCTGAATTACTGTATTACAGGGTCAGTAGTGAAAAGCACCAACTTCATTTCTACAACAAGAGATGGCATGGAAGTGTACAATATTGTCAAGGATCTTTTATTTTGCCAGGTGCTATATCGGCTAATGAAAAAAGGTGACTGGTCCAAATGACAGATGGCACTTTTTGCTACAGATAATTCTTTACTCGGGTTGCTGTAAGCTCACCTGGCTCTGACTCTGAGGTTGGATTTGTTGATTTTCTACGAGCGTCTAAACCTATTAGAGATTATAAGCCTATTTCATATTTTTTCATCCATTGAATTAAATGAATTCACCAAGGCAAATAAAGTAGGTGTGTACCACTGTAGCTCCAGCTCTTTATTGTGTGTGTGTATGTGTGTGTGTGTGTGTCTGTTTGTTTGTGTGTTTCGCAAGATACATTTTACAAACAAGGAGTATTATGAAGCCAATGAATTACTATACAGAATAATTGGGAAAAGGCTGTTTAACAAGTTTATCGTAACAGAGTAAGGCGTCATTATGCCTCCATATGCTAAACAATATAGAGTTGCATGAGGTTTTACACTGCTATGGAAAGCAAATATTATCATCCCATGTGACATGGCATCTTAATAAAGAAACATAATTCAAAGTGGCACGTTGACTAAGCACATTTTAAACAGAACAGAATGACCATGTTTTTCTTTTCTTGTTTTTTCACTATGACTTAGCCAAATACTTTCAGAGAGAAGTAGAGTTACATACACATACACAAAGAGCTCTACAGTACAACCACAGATTAGTAACTCGTGGCCAGTGAAGCAGCTCCAGTGGAGAAACTGGGGCTTGACTGTTTTGCCCCAGGGTGTCTTTACTGTAGCTGATGAGGAAGGAGGAAACCTTTATATATTCCTCCACCAAAAAGATTTTTGTAGCTACTCGAGGGATTTAAACAGGTGACATTTTGGTCACAAGCTCATTTCTCTCAACATTACCCTCCTGTCACCCTTTTTACACCCTGTGGCAAGATATGCAAAAACCCATTACATGATGTTGCAGATAGGATTGCCACCTATGTGATGTGGAGCATTTTGAATGCTTTAAAAAGTAGTTGGTTTTACATCGAACTAGAAAGTATAATCACATGGAACAGGGTTTTCACCATCATTAGGCAGCAGGGATGTCTGTTTGATGTTCCATATAAAACAATATTGACCACATACTGTATAGAGATCCTTGTTTTACAAAGAGGTTTTTAACAGCACCCACAACATATAATGGTTTTAACAGTGCTTGTTTTCTGAAAACAGCTGACTACTGTTGCTGGAAATTGACTTGATAGGAGCAGTGAGATGGAACCATACAATAGGCATATAGATATAACTAAAACTGAAACAAGGAGCTCAAAGAGGCTAATAATAACACAACCCATTGAGCAGCAGAGGCGGCTTGTCATTTTCTATCGGATTGTCACTAGAAATCCCTTTCACATTACATATATTCACTTGACTTCATCTCAGTGTAAAGATATAGATTTTTGGACCATTAAGCATCCAACTGCAAAAATGACTACCTGTCTTGTTTGGTACCGGTGTAACTGAGTAACTGAACTCAGCCAGACACCTATGAAACTGGAATGTTAAGCAACTCATTCAGTCTGTGTTGTTTTGGGTGGAGGAATGATATACAGTGTTTTTAGCACTAGCTTGTATAGTGTGTCACTAACCTTACACGAATGGATAAATGGCAATCAGAACTCTTTTACAAATATATGTATATACTGGCTTCCACACATTAGAATCGGTGAACTTTTTATTAACAAAATAAAACTTTCCCGTTTGTACAAGTACAAATACAAGCACAAGACCTGTGCCATCATCTGTCTAATGCGCGACATCAGCTCCTGGTGGTGGTTTAAAAGTAATACCAAAAGCTTAAAATGGCAATGCCTCTGTTCTTTTTCAGAGTAACTTTCTTATACTGTATGTATTTATGCACTGTACTGTATATCAGTGGGTTTCCTGGTTTACAGACAGTATGAGCATTAAGCTCCTTTATGAGAATTCAAGTATCAAAATAACTCTGCATTTAATTTCATCCTGTATTTGGTAATTACACAGTCTGTGTGAGCCGATTATGAGTGTGTACATACTGGTGTCACTGTCACTGTGGGTGTTTTTCTTTCCTCCCTCTACCCAGACCTCCTCTTAGATGATTAATATATTTTTTGTTGTTTCCCCTCTCTTGCTTCACTTCTGTCTTTTATTCTCTCCTTCCTTGTCAGTTCAGTACTGCACTGGGCAGTGTGTGCGCCCCTCGCTCCCACTGCTCTGCCCTTTTCTGTATTTTGAAACTTCTGGGCTCCAGCCAATCTCATTTTGGGTCATCCTGTTCTTTTCCTGTTAGGTCAGTCATTAGAAAATGACACAGTGGCTTGGAAAGAGATGCGACTGATATAAGAGCAGGGGAGCAGGGACATGAATTACCATTGGTTTACTGATGAGTGTATATTGAGAAAAGGCTGGAAATTCCATCACAACACACACACAATCTGTGAGAAACAAATACATCATATTTGCAGTCAGAGGAAAATTATGAAAAAAAAACGGCTGCTGTGTACTGATTTGGTTGGAGGTCAGGTCTTGACTGTGTCTAGGGATTTAAAGTGCTGATCCTCCATAGACAACTGTTATCCCTTCCTTTGAAATATCCATAACTGGCTCTGAGCATTTGGGAGTTCATTGCTGCTCAACATGTATTTATACCTGCGTATGTCTGATTCTTGAGTACCACAGTTTTCCTGATTTTTACTTCCACAAGGATTGAGTTGGATACCAAGTATATATATATATATATATATATATATATAAAACTTGCTGATGAAATAGAAAACCAGTGGCTTGGGTATTAACACATACATAAACATACTGTTACACATACTCTCATTCTCACTTAAATAATGTGATCATGCAGAATCCTATAACCAACCAGCAATCCAACTGGGGAAACCTGTATTTGAATCTCTGTATTACAGGTGCAGAGAGACAGTTAACATCTCCTACGACATGTAGGAGTAAACATCTATAAACCACAGAGAAAGAGATTTGCACTTATAATCCTTTTTTCTCTCTCCCTCCCATGTCTCCCTCCAGCTCCTCCAATGATCCGGCTGTCAGTTAACGACACGGTGGTGGTGGATCCCGGGCAGGATGTGCTCTTAACCTGTGAGGTGACTGCAGGTTTCCCCCTCCCCTCTGTGACGTGGTCGCGTTACCCCGGGCCCCTTCCCCTTAGCGCCCAAGTTCGAGGGCCAACGCTGATTTTGCGGGCCGTCACACCGGCCGACGCGGGGTTCTACAACTGCACGGCTGTCAACAATGTGGGGAACCCTGCTCGCAAGAACGTCAATCTTGTTGTCAGGAGTAAGTGTGTGTGTGTGTGTTTCCAGATGACAGAGGGACAGGAGGTGGGAGATTTTTTGGTGAATATGTTTTGAGGTTAATAGTATGTATGTGTGTCCATTCTTTTTGCTGCTGGTTTGGGTGTAGACATAATGTGTTCATCCACCAACAATTTAGGGTCCTAATTTAGCGTCAGCTTTGAAACTAGAAATAATGGGTGCAATTTTTTATTCATTTATTTATTTTTTATAAATACCACGTTTGTTTGTTTTTTTAAGGTTAAAAGTACAGATTGTAAAAGCGCACTCAGATTTTTGAAACATTGTTTTTGACAAAGCAAATACACACACACACACACACACACACACACAGAGAAAGACACCTACCACTACATAATTATAATTAAAAGTATTTGATTAAACATAATGTTTTTTCAATTTCAAAGTACTATTTGTCCAGCCGTTTCTAGCCTTAGTGTGCAAATATATACATCTGTGCATGTACAGAATGTGTCTGTGTGGTGTGTGACATGTGAGAAGTTGATCCATCATTACAGAAAGCTGATGTGAAGCTTGTCAGAATAGGTGGGTTAAGTATTGCTCTTTTTCTCTTTTCCCCTGCTGTTAAAACAGAAGCCTTCCATTTTCCCTCCCCTCCGGCTATTTTTAGCCCCTTTAATCATCTTTATTCACTCCAATTAGTTAGACTGGAGTGGAAGCAATTAGCGACAGTCTCTCCTGTTAGTTAACACTGTAGAGAACGTATGCTGGTTGGGTTTCTCCTGTTAGCTTAATGGGCCTGAACGCATCGCCACACCAGCACAGGTGGCAAGAAGGAAACACACACAAAAAAACACACACACACACACACGTGTTCAGTCAGTGCATCGATATAGGAGTCTGCAGGTATAGGTGACACACTTGCACATGCACACTGATGCACACACAGCCCCAGGCTCCCACATCACATACACACACACACACACACACACACACACACAACATTGTTTCCACACTAACCAGGTAAAGTTGCAGGATCATGTTAACCATATGGTCACTGCTCCACTTCCATGGCTCCACCCAAGCATCTTGTTAACAAGCTCGAAAGGAGTTTAAATCACGCTCCTCTCTCCTCCTCGCCGCCTGTCTCTCCCCTTGGTGGGGAAACAGAGAGCTGTTTTGTATTCAATATGGAAATCTGTTGGGGAAACGCAGCCTTTGAAACTGAAAATTAAATGTGACAGTGTGAGAGTTACTCTTTGTCCTTGATTTTGTTTCCACCCCCCTCCTCTTTATCCCACTGTTATTTTATTCTCTATCTTGCTTCCTTTTGTCTCTCCCTCCTTCACAATTTGCTTCTTCCTCTTCCTTGCTTTCTTTCTTCTTCAATTTCCTTTTTCCTTTGGTTTCTTTCTGTCATTCTGCCCCCTCCTTATGCCTCACACACTATGTCGCAAACTCATATACCATTCTGTATTAGCCATCTTCCCCTTCCTCCATCCACTTAAAAAAGATTTTAATTGCTTTTTTTACTCTCTCCTTCTCCCTCAATCACACTACTATGCCAATTATTTTTGATGTCATTCCTAAAACTTAATTTCAATCTCTTTTGTCAAATTTAAATTTCATTTATATTTGACAAACTTTAACAAATGTAATTGGCATGACATAGGCTACATGAATATGTGCTGCCAAAGTAGAATTTCAAAATAAAGGTTGAGATATTAATAAACCTCAGTTAGGATTTTACGCTAGCTTCAGTGCTACACAAGGCTAGAGTTACCAGGACATTTATTTTTCTATTAAGAAGGTGGGAAGACACTTTTGTACCTGTTAAGAGTGTGTTTAATTTTTTGCCATGATGGCACAACACCCTTCATTCACACATTTTGCAAAAAAAGAAAATGTCCCAACAAAAAGGTGTTTTAATTCTTCAGTGCCTTTGGGTCTTTCCCCAGTCATTTATTAGTAAGCATTTACAATATTTTACTGGTGACGTCAGTCCCCCATTCATTGTTTTTAGGACATCACCACAGCTTACCTCATACCATATTGTACCATCTACTTAACCCTTTCTTCTCACTTTCTCTTTACCCTGCTACCACCACACACAGCAATGAGCAACCTGACCTTCCAGATTACACCAGACTCCAACAAGGACAGTGAGACCATCCAAATGGGTCGGGATCTCAAGCTGTCGTGCCACGTTGACGCCACCCCACAGGACAAGGTCAACTACACCTGGTATAAGAATGGTGCACCTGTCTTCAACTCGGATAGCCTTATCCTGCTGCGCAGCGACCCAGACATGGCACCTGGCACAAGTAGCTTGGAGATTGTGGACATGAAGTTCAGAGACTTGGCTACTTACAGCTGTGTAGCAAACTTTCCAGGAAGCAGGGTGCCAGAGCTTCGCGTTGATGTCAACATCTCTCAGAACAGTGGTGAGATTTTCCTTTTTTATTTCATATCTCTGTCAGACTGAAACAAATTTCCATGACTTTCTAAGCAACTGTCAGTTAGAGTGAAATAGCTAACACATGCTGTCAAAAGAAAAAAAAATACCTTGTTGCGTCTATACATTTTTCTGTATTTAAACTAACAAGCAATAACAAATCCAAATGTCCCAATGGGCTGTAAATATATGTATATATGTAACTGATGATCAGCAGCATCACCAGTCTATGTGGTGGCAAATATAATGGTTAGCAGTTAGTCAAATGCTGTTACTTTAAGAAAACAATTTATTATTCGAGCTGACTGTATCTTAAAAACACATTAGGTGTCAAATTGTTTTAGGAAAGCCTCTCCTGAAAAAGTTATTTTCCTGGCCATTTCAGCCTTTATTGATTAACTGCTCAGTCTTTCATCTTGATGGTATCTTTCACACATTTCCCCCCATCCTCCTAGACTATCTCCTCTCTTCACACCTTTTCTTCTAACTGTGGTGCACTCTACATACAGTATATGCATAATGTATACAGGCCATAATGTATACATTATACTGTAGGCTGACACATGGCTAGTTTTTTCCATTTTGTGTCAGCAAACAGAGCAAGAGTTACTGAAGTTTACTGAGAAACATGGAATGGGAAGGGTCAGATGGAGAGTGCACACACACAGTTACATTCATTTAAACGGATAATTACAGATCAAATATATTTTTTGTTTTCTTTTTTTTTAGTTAGGTAGTAGTTATTGTTTATTTTGTTCTTTTAAAGTTATTTTTGGGGCTTTTTATGCCTTTATTTTGATAGGGCAGATGAAGATGGACTGAAAAGAGGGGGGAAAGAGAATAGTGGTGACAGCAGACATCTGTCTACTACACTACCTATATGGGGTGCATGCTCTTCCAGGTGGGCTACCCTGCTAGTATCCTGGTAGTTAGGATTTTGAACAAAAAGTGACAACCAAAATACTTTTCTTCAGACAATATCTATTGCTTTCCCCTTTTTCTGTCTCTGTATGAACCTTATTCCCTTGTTGCTTGGTTGGTGCAACGCAGATAATTATAGTGGTGTATAAATATGTGTCTGTGGAACTATGTGTGTGTTTTAATGTGCATTCTCATGTGTGGTTAACCATAACATTAGCACTTAACACTGAGCAGTAATCTTTTTTAATGTTCCTATGTTGCATTGAAACTGTGTGATTGTCCAATAAAATTTGCCTTGTAAATGTTTCTTTCATACCTTTTTATTCTCCATCTGTCTCAGTTTCTCTGTTTAAACCATCTGTAATTTTTAAATCATGTCCACCTCCTGAATTCTATTATACTTGTCTTGTGTATTTATTCATTTCCACACACAATTTAGAAAGATGAAAGTGAAAGAAACTGAATATCTCTTAAAACTTTCCTCAAGGTTTTTATTTAGCTTGCATACAAATGTATTTATATTTTAAAAATAGTATTGCAATGGTATTGTGGTCTACTTTTATAGTAGATATTTACAAGCTAAAATATATCCAATTTTCCTTTTGTGTTTTTGTTATTGTTATTAAAATTGTATGACGGTTGTTTTCCTGTATTGCCGCAGGTTGTATCATTGTATAGAAAACTTGTACTTTTGAAATACATTATCTATGTTCGTTTTAGTTTGTGTAGTAAGTAGGAGACTAAAACTTGCATCTGTTCTTACTATTCCTTCTCCTTTGTCTCTGCCCTTGCCTCCAGTTTCTCCTCCAGTGCTGTCAGTTCCACCAGGAGGTCAGCTGGTCAGTGTGCGAGAGGGAGGTAATGCTGAGCTGGTGTGCTTGGTGGTAGATGGCAAACCACGCCCACCTATACTCTGGTCACGGACAGAAAAGGACCTGCTGATGCCAGGAGGGAAGACCATGGTGGAGACACCTGATGGCCGCTTGAGGCTAAAGAACGTCAGCCGAGACATGATGGGGCTGTACCGGTGCCAGACTGCTCCATACAATGGGCTTAACATCAAACGCAGAGAGGCACAGGTCCAGCTCAATGTGCAGTGTAAGTGTGGATAAGATTATATTAACCTGAGGATTCAGCTGAAACAATATGCAGCACCACTGTAGCAGCAGAAGCCCTTGGGGGTACTTGTTGAGAGTACTTCTGCAGCGCAGTTTGGTGTAAATAAGTCCAGAATGGTTATGACTGCTTTCATTGCTGAATCTTGCTTACTACTAACATAAGACAGGATAATATGAAACTTTAATGATCCCTGGGCAACGGTAGCAGCAAACTGCAATACTGGTAGTAGTGTCAGCAGAACAAAGAAAAATGAATTAGAAATGAAAATGAAAACAACTTCAGAACTAGAATATATATACATATAGAATATATATAAAATACAATTGTAAAGTGTAAACATTATAGCTATATAGAGGTTATTACCCTTAACAATAGTTGTCCCAGAGGGAAAATGTTTGGTAGTCATCAGCCAACCCAATGAAAGTGTAAAAGGTACCCGGTGTTATCTTTGCATTGACATCCATAGGCCATAACAAGTCTTTCTTTGTTGCTATAGAAATATCAGTGATGCATTAAAACACTGCATGTTTCTTTTCCCCCACCCTCAATAATGGCATACACTATGTACCTAAAGAAAAAAAGGAAATGTATGGTAATCTAAACAGTGTAAAAAAACAGAGAGTAAAAATCAAATGAGGACACATCTCTACAGCTTAAAAGTTGTTTTTGCTAAACCTACCCTTTCCCCTTTAGGAGCACTCCAGTGGGGTCTGTCATAAAGGTCCTGTAGGATGGGCTTTAAGAAAGGAATAGATAATAGAAATAATGATTTTATTGTGATTTCTCTGGAAACTATCAACTAATTTAAACATGCTTTAGGCATCCTCAAAATCACTTGTCACCCAAAGCTGCATGTGCATGCTGTGCAGTTGTGGGTTTTAACAGTGTTTCCATCTTTCTATTACTGTTCCTTATTTTAGAACAAAAAACAATTGCTTTTAAAACTTTAAAAACAGCATATGTATGGGTAGCAGGGGGTTACGAATATAATAGTGGCACACCCGGTGGGCAAAATCTGCACACCATATAGAAGTTGTTACCAACAGTGTGAGTGTTGTTATTCATGTAGCTTATTGGCACCAATGGGTAAAACCAATGAACAAACAAAAACTGCATAGTGTTTAATAACTTAATTAGAAAAAGCCACACAAAAAACCCAACCACATTAATCATAAAACCAAACTTAACTTAAATAACAACATTCACTAGTAAAAGTTCACTAGTTTAAAGTGTTATTAGGTGAGTCGCTAATGTACTGCATTGGTAAAGCTTGCACAGCAATGTGTCACTGTATTGGTAAGTGCTCAATTTAATTCAGTAAATTTATGTTAACAGGAATTCAGTATTCAATTTAAACCTTTCAGCACACTCCCAGTGTGCCCTGTGTACAAGGTCAAGTTAAAACGCTACTAATCAAAGTTATATGTAAAGTGAAATGTACAAGCTATTAAAAAAACACTAGGATACAAAAAACAAGTACAGTGCATCTAAAACACATTAAAAATGTCTCAAAAGGAGAGGGAAAATTAAAAGGTGGCTGTATTCATCAAGCATTTCAACAAGGGAATGTTTATTTTTCGAATCCAAATTCTCAGAACGACTATGGTCCTACTTTTAACCATAGGACTGATGCAGTGTATCAAATTTCTTAAGGAAAATCAATCCGTCTGGATAAAGATATTTTAGCCCTGATCTTATATTTCTTGCCATATTAACTTTCTTTGTTACCAATCAAGCAAAATTAACAAAAGCTTAAAAGCAGAACCAACTATGTGTTTGTCCGAAAGTAGGACCACTTTCCCATTCACACTTGATACACACTTGATACACATTTGATAAAAACACACCCAAATCTGTCTCCTCTCCTCTCCTCTCCTGTCCTCTCTTCTCCTGCTCTTCAAAAAGGATTTACAGGGTTTGCTAATGCAGGCGGGGCGGAAGGGCAACACTGTGTGAGCTCTGCTGTCCACACTGGCCAAGTCTGATTAATGGACCAGGTGGCCACCCCACTCTGGACAGAGAAAGGAACAGAGAGATGACACAGATACATGAGCAGGACTGAAAGAGAGAGATAGAGAGAGAG